CAGCTGCCTGTAAAAGGTCTTGAACAACCTTGTCTAAATTCAGTGTTGAACCTGCTTTGAGCAAGTGGCCTGCCAAGAGACCTCCTGGAGTTCCTTCAAGCCCAGATCGTTCTGTGAAATGCAATAGGAAGATAAAGTATTTTTGGCAAAAGTGTTCACAACAATGGTCTCCTTCTTATATTGGGGGCAGAACAGTGAAATATTATATTTTGGGACAATTCAATGGCAACAATCCACTTTGCATGTGTACGAAGGGGGAACAGAAACATTTCACTAAAAAGTCTGGTTTCAATTCCATCTTCTTTTCCAGGAGACTGTTCTAAACTTGCAAAACTTTGCTGTAAATGCTGCTTGAGTACATGTTTTCAGCCCATCAATTACATCTTTAAAACGTACATTTCCTCATACATTTATCAGGCCCCACCTACACAGTTATTTGGCTGAGTACAGAACAGTATGTCTAATAAATATCATAAAGGTTCTCCTCAGAAAACCAAAACAGTTTCACATTGTTAATCCATTTTCCTTCATTCACTAATTTCTAATTTAAATATAATTTTTCATTAAATGATAATTGCATGGAAAACTAGAAAGTCTGGAGTCCTTCCAATGGTCCATCAGACATCGATTTACCTCCGCTTTTGAGAATGATTTTAATAACTGTGTAGCCTTTTAGCATGAACAAATATCTCATTCAGCAAGGAAGCATAGCTCTCTCCATTTAAAGACAAAAATCAGCAAGGTTCTTCTCTGACAGGATGGAAAATTTGCCAAATGCTTTTTTTCTTTTCCCTATAAAAATTTGTCTTAAACTTCAGCAACATTGTTACACTGAACCAGACTGAATTCCCATGTGGTTACAAGTGGGTAAATATTTCAGTAGAATGTAAGAGAAAAACTGAAAGCCTCCAGACTCTAGACTCCAATCTCTAGAAGTTAATGAACGTTTCTACAGGTACCTGGCATGTGGTTATAGCACACCGTTATGGCAAACCAGACTTTATTCCCTGGATTGTACCACAGTAATCTCTGAAGGGATCTCAGATACTTTGTGAGGGCAACACTGAAGGATGTAGGCTTCAAATGCACTGTAATGTTGTAATTTCATTATCACAAGAAACAACACTCAGAATCTTCTCTCTACAACATGAAATTTCAGGCTGTTCAAAGACAGTAAATACCCCTGGCCGTATACATGATCACCATCTGGATCTAGCACATGAGCACTCAAATCCTTGATTGCCACATTTCATGTAACTTGAGGTTGGGAAGCCATCAACATTTGACAACTAACAGAATTATGTAGGTCTCAGGGTGTCTAAAAATGGACTACCAGGCAAATAACTGTTTTTTCATTAAGGATCTAACCTTTAATGTTATGGCAAATTTTTGCCATAGACACTAATTCCACTAGCACCCTGTTGCTCTGATGCCACGGAACACGATGTTAAATCTGCCTTGTCACACATGAAAGGAGGGGAAGAATGTAGCATGCTAATAACTAGAAATCCCCATTCATTTACCACTCTATAAAAATACTTAATTAATAAATAACAATAAAAATAAGGCACTTTCGATTTCAGAGAATGAGGTCCTTCAGAGCCATCAGAAAGCCACTAAAACAATGAAGAAATGGAAAACTAGATCTGTACTGGAGCAGAGATCACCTGGACTATACATATCATTGGAGCTTCAGGATTGTGACTGCTGTAAAAATTCCATCTGGAAGCTGAGACCCCACCCATCGAGTGAAACAGTAAGTTGGAATATACTTCTCCAAACCAGAACAGAAACAATCTTCAAGAAAGCATCAGTGGATCATAAACAAAACCAAGGCTACTCTTCCCTGCTACCCAATCAGAAGAAAAAGGGACATGACAAGGAGCTTATTCCATGTGACCACTTTATCCTCACATACAAACAGGCCTGCAGAGACTAAATAACAACATCTAAGGCCTTTTTGGCTTATTCAGAAAGAGAGAGTGAAGCATTTGGGCAAAATATAACAGCTATAAATTCTGCCTCAGATACTGACTACATAAGCAGAGATTCTGGCAGTCTAATTGTCTCTCAAAGCAGCACTGTAACAGATGCAGAAGGAAACACTTGAAAACATAAGAAGAAAGAAAATAACTGTTCAGTACTGAAAGTTTTTAGAAGATGAAAGAACAGCGGGACCAAAAAAAGATAAAACTTCCACAGAAACTCAGAGATGAATGCTCCTACAGCATAGCTCAAGAGCCACTGGAAGCCTGCTTTTTTTCTGAATGAAGCCCCAAAAACATATTTTGGTTGTGTCCACTCTATTAAAAATAACATATATGAACTCTTCTATGCTGCATTAAGTGACCTTTATGAGAAAAACCTCAGCAACCATAGTTTATAACCTATGTTTAAAATTAACCAGATATTTAATCAAGATTTTATCTAGCTTCACCCATATTTACTGAAACTCAATAATTAATATCAGCTATTGCTCAGAAGCTAAATGATAGATAAAAGTCACAAGTTAGCAGCTTTGACAATTTATTAAGAAACCTCAGCTAATTCAGTGCAGAAGGAAAACTGAGATTACATTTAGAGAAAAGAAAGATTACAGCTGTTTTCCGCTATGTCTAAAAGGTCATAAGCAAATTCTGGAGATAGATATAGAAGTGAGATGTGACACAATTGAATATTTTTCAAATGTGTGATAGAATTAATGCCTTTAAACAAGGCAAATCCTTCAATATTAACAAAATGAGATTATTTAAATTAAAAGATTAAATCAAGAGAACTATGAATTATTAGAGAAAAATCTGGACCTTGAGTTAACCACAGCACTACGTGATTCAAGTATGTTGAAGACAAGTGTTATTATAAGAGATCTATTAAAACAGAAAAGCTTAAAATATGTCCTCAGAGAAAAAAAAAAAAACAAACAAACAAAACAACACACTACCAAAAATATTTTAGAACATTTAAAAGTTAACATTTTAGAAGTTAACTAGATGGCATACCAAGAATATTCACTTAACCTTTGTCTTCATCTGAGAGAAACGTGACAATTATCAAGTACTACCTAAAGAAAAGGATTTCTTTCTTCCACAGCTACTTGGACAATACGGGATTGGTAATGACTCCAGCAGAACCTTGAATGCTTTACTTCATCCTACATTAACTTTACCTTTCTTGAATACTTCATCTGCAGGCATGCCAGATTTATAACCTGAAGCTGAGGGATCTTGAGAAATTTTTCCCAGGCTTCATAAAATAAATATACTTAAACTCTTGCCTATGAACCAGTGATGGACTTCAGTGCATTATTAGTGGTCCTATAGTAGGAGCACACAGAATTTATGCACTTCATCTCTTTGTTTGTAAATTCTAAGCTTTGTTTAAAAAAAAACCCAAACAAAAAACAAACAAACCCACAACATCATTGACTATTTTTGAATGTCAGTTGCTGTAGTGACTACAGAAATCTTACAGCATTGTAAAAGGAAAGGATGAAATCCACAGGACTTTACTCAAGTGAGGGTCACTGTATGAAATAAAAACTCCATAATATCTATATTAGAAAGAAAATTTGGACAAAATTGCAGTCTTTTTTTGGACTTCTTTAATCTACAGAATGTTAGTTGAGAATTCTGTGCGATTTTTAGGTGACTGAAACAATTATGTATGGAAGAGGGAAAAACCTATTAGAACATGTATCTTAGAGAATAGATACGAAAAACATCAAACCAGTACAGTGGATCATTAATTAAATACATATGAGTATAAATGGATGGAAATGTGCCAAATTAAAGATGTAATATCATCAACATAAAACATAATGATGTATCTTAACTATGGTCTGCCATAGGTACAAGGGTCAAAGCTAAAGCTCTATGGCAAATTTATGTACAGGATTTTCTGATTTTAGTTTGCCTTATCTGAAACTTTAACTTCTCCGGACCATAGCTGTGATACTAATGATAAACATTTTACTTTAAAGAGTTCTAGCCATATACACCAGGATGTTAAGACAGAAACAAAAAACTCTGGATCCATAACCTAAATCTTATTAAAGATATCAGCTACTGTCTTAAGTGCTAGAACTAAAAAGAGATTTGGCACCTTCCTCCTGCTTGCATCCCAAAACTGAGATTAACAAAATCAGTCTCAGTTCTTGCCTAATCCTTGAGTTGAGAAAAATGCAGATAAAACCTCAAAGCGAAGCAACAACTGACTGTTTTTCCTCTACTCTTTCCCCTTTACTCTTTCTCCCAAGATTCCCAGACTTCACCTACCTTGATAGCACAGACTGGACTTATAAACAATCCTTTGTTGTGGGAAGAATAAATGTGATTAACTACTCCTCTCTTGCCCCAGATTTTTTGTGAAATAGGTAAGCGTTAAGTGTGCCAGAGAAAGGGGGAACCAATCTGTAATTTAACAATCAGTTCCTTTCACTTATAAGACATGGATTCTAACACTTTCTCTTCTGAGCACTTGCTAGTTTGCTAAATTTTCCTATAGAAATAGGTTTCAATAAAACTAGTGATTATTCTTCAGTAATAAAAGCAATCTGAATTTTTAAGGTTTTCTTCTGCTTTAGAGCAAATATGAAATTTTATGATTTCCTGTTCTTAAACATTCATAATTCTTAGGAGCTTGGCTTTTTAAAAAGGATTAAAAATAGGTAACTTCTGTCTGCTTTTGACAAACATAAGTTACTGTAACTGTGGTGTCTACCACGAGACACCAAAAAATAATGAATTAAAAATATTAACAGAAGAATCCTAACTCCATCGAAGTCAATGTTCCTATTAATTTTGATACAAATTTGGGCAAGAATAATAATATGGTATTTGGAAGGTTTTTATTATTTATTTAATGACTCTTTGATTTCAAACACTTCAGCTCAATAAAATTAGCTGCTTCCTCCTTTAGAAACCATATCAGCTGTCCAATGAAGTTAAAAGACAGGAAGGCAGATACCAATGCTGAGGATTTGTTGATTGTTGTGTACATACCACCTTTCATCATTCCCACTTCATAGCATTTCCTTAGTCGGCAAGCCTGGCAACTCTTTCTTCTGTTCTTGTCAATGGTGCACTGGTTAGTAGCAGGACACATGTAGTCATTGTGCCCTGTAAAACCAGAGGGAAAGTAAGGACACAGTTATACAGAGACACGAGAAAACTGCTTATTATACTCTCTTATTTTTCACTGAGTATTTGGTACAGCATCTAACATCTCAGGAAGAAGGTAGGGTTACCACCATAATCTATCATAAAAGTATTGATATGGAAAGTGAAACTAACATCTATTCACAATACATTTATTCACAAGTTCTTTAAAAGTACTATTAAAAACACAAATTACAACTTCTGCAGAATAATTAAAATAATGAACAACTAAAGCAGTCAGAAGAGAGGATAGATTAATATGAACAAGTCCCTTGACTTCCTTGCTCTTAGCCTGAGAAATATTGTGCCATCCGGTCCATGTGCCTGTGTTGATGTTTAGCCAATAGACTGCACAAAATGGTTAGAGGTTTATAGAATTAAAAAGGCCTATGCACAAAACATTCTTTGGTATCTACCACAATCTGGGGCAGTTAAGAAACAAACAACAACAATATAAAATAGAAGCAACTACCATTAATTAATTGTATCTCAGGGATAAATCAGTCTAAGTCCAATTGCATGTCTACTGATATAAGCAAAAACCTTTTGTCATGACAAATTCTTAAATTACCATATGCTGCAACCAAGTTTGGTACTGGTACCTTTTCCATCAGAGCTCCACTTCCTCATTTATTACCCTCTACATCTCAATTCTCATTACAAACATTTTCAGCGTACCATAATTTGTTACTGTCAACAAGCCTCTACTGCAATTTTCCCTTAAAAAATGTGTGCTTAAACCTGCTATAAAATTATTTTCCAACCATAGACAAAGTCTAGCAAGGACAAAAAAAGACTATCCGAAATGACCGTAATGGTGCTCTGTATTCATCTAAACACAACTAAGGTACAGCACACAACGAAACAATTTTACTGCAGAACTGTTTGTTCTTTCTTTCAGGTCAATGGATCAGCTTGAGTAGAGTAGGGTGGAGGTTTGACAGAGGCCTTGGTCTCATCAAATCATCTATCCTTGACTAGAAATCAGAAACTAGAGTAAAAATTACTATCAGATTACACCAGGAACATCTGCTATCTAATGCTACATAACTGGGATCCAATCAAAATAATCAGCCAAACTGTAAACTTGTTAATATGGTGACAGCTGACTACACACTGTCTCAAACAGACAGAATTATTATTTTTTTAGCTCTACTTGACACAACAGTATAATACTGGAAAAATCTGAATCCACAGACTTTGCTCCAGGACTGAGGTAAAAAGGTAGAACAGAAACACTACCTCAACCTCAGCATGAAAGACTATTTTAATTTTCAGTTCCTCTGGTAGGATACAGACTGTTCTATACCTGATTCAAAATATTTCACATGTAAGGAAAAAAAAATCAAGTCAGAAAGAAAACAGCCTCAACCATACAAAAATGCAAGGGAAACGGAGCAAAAAGGGAAGGACATGCATTTAAGAAAATGCACTTTTATTAGGTCACACTAAACAACAGCAAAAGATTGTAGCACCTGAACTCAATTGCCAGCCTTGTTTCATAAGCCAAGCTCTGAAGTAGCATGAGAGAAAGATGGAAAACTTTAATTACTCTGTTTAAAAACAAAGAAAGACTTTGACAGTGTATCCGATCTTCTTCCTAGTAAAGTTAAAAGATAAATTCACAAGGGGAATGAGCGCAGGCCCTGAATTCAGCAAATAATTCAGAACACCATTTAGCGCTCTGTAAAATAAGCAGATAAATGTTTCCACTTAGGTCAAAGCTTAACACAAGCTTACCACCTTTGCTGGACTGGCTGATGATCATAAGGTTCAACTCTCTCTCAAAAAAAAGTGACAGTATGCAAAAATCAAAAATCAAGTGGAATCAATATCAGCAGGGCAGCCATCCTTTTTCACAGTGCTTATGTCGGTGATGATAACCTCTCATTTTGCTCTGGACCTAGGTTTCCTTATGCAAACTGCAAGCGTTTGGGAATAGGCATTTGGTTTGTAGAATAATACATAAAATAATCCTATTTGTGATAGAGGTACAGTCCCTACTGAAATTAGCTTGATTCATATTATCATATTTTTACACTGAAAAGTTTTATCTTAAATATACACTTTAAAGGTTAGCATAATTAGTCTGTTTTCATGCACATGACCTGCACCTTAGACAATCCACTCTTCTTTCAAAGTGCTTGACAGACTTCACAGAATAAAACCTGTAAAATTTTGAATGCAAAAAAAGAAAGATCTGTGTGCGAGGGGCAGAATTCTTCAGACTACGAGTGCCATAGTAATGTCATTGGTTAGACTTCATATTTGCTGTAAATCTAAGAAGAAGATAATGTATTTAATATTTCTCATAATTTTTGGTTAAGTTTAACCAACATGCCTTCAGGAGACTGGAAAAGATGCAAGCAACCAGAGGAAAACATTTGGTAATTAGAGTACACAGTAGAAATGAATATCAAATTAATCAGGGAAGAGGAAAGAGAAAAAGGGAAGCAGTAAGGCAGGAACCTTTCCTGCTTCTCCACAATACCTTCTGATTTCAAGTATTCAGTCACAGGAAGTGAGGAAGGAAGTTTCCTTTGCAAGGCACAGACACAGATTAGGGCAGTCTAGCTTGGGGTGGCATGGAAGGGAAAAAGGTAGAAGAACATAATTAAGGAATAGGTAACACGCAAAGACAAGTTGTATCTTAAAGTGAAGTAGTATAACTCAATAACTCTGCTGTAAAGTGAATTGTCTTTTAATTATTCTACCTTTTATTTTATCCTTAAAGCTCATCTCTCAGCAAAGTTGATTCTGAACAATCTGACTTACGAGAAGGGATTTCTCACTGGTGGGAATAGTTAACATGAAAATGGAACACATCCACAGTTGCCCAGCTGCCTGCACTTTGTTTTCATGGTATCCAAAGAGAAATACATGCTAGAAGAGAAGCTAATTAGGCCATTTGGATAGTTGGTATCACAGGAATACTGAGAGGAAGAAATGTATTCAGTGATCACTGCCACTTGACCTCTGTGGTCTTATAGGTTTTCTTAAAATAAATTATCAGATAACCTGCACAAAATTAAAGGCAGGGAGTTTAATAGGGTAGAGCCCCTAATTTTAATCCCCCCATATGTATGACTTGCACTGTCATGAGCTACAAAGGAAGAGTTTAAGGGAGCTATTGGAGGAGCTTGAGGAGGGGTGGTCTGTTTTTCTTATGATATCTCCCACATCATACATTTTAAAACAGTGAAAGTAACATTAAGTATTTTTATAGCACTTTATTACATGCTAAGGTATTTCCAGAACAGGGTGCGAAGATCTGGCTCTTTTCTCAAAGCACTAATTTTAGATGTGACAATCTGTATGACAACGACCAACAGTGGAGGGGGGGAGGATGAGGAAGCAAAATGTCAACAAGAAGGTAATGGCTGAAATTAGGATGATATTCAGTTTATTCTAACCTCCCCTGTCATAGCCAGAGCTTTTTCTTACTGCACATGCAGTCTGACTTTCCCTCATCATGTGGCTAGTATTCATGTACAGAGACTCATCACTGTCCGTCTAGAGGGTTCTCGAGATAGCTGTGGTGTATGCAAGAGCAGCGCATGCTTGAATTGGAATGGACCGATGATTTATCTGTGAGGGCTTCAGTCAGTAAAACAATCCATATTTCTTTAAAGTTAAGTGTTACTACATTCAGTAGAACATTTAAGCATCTGCATACTTCTAGCAAGTAGTCCCAGCACAGTATATATGGTTAAAGTTAAGTACATGCTTGAATATTCCACTGAATTGCAACTTTGAAGAGCTGAGTTCATTCTGACCTTGACCAGCAAGAATGAAAATTGGGTTCATATTAATATATCAATGGCAATTAACATAACACAGAAATGTTTTTTTCTTAAATGTGTAAACAGTTGCCATGTTATATTCCAATAACCATCAAGGTTAGCTTGAGGGAATGATTAGTTTAAGCAGTACAAAAGTTGTAAAAAAAATGAACTAAGGAAACCGACATGTCAGCATGCCAGCCTAAGAATGCTTAATGACAATTCTACAAAGCCAATAAAGGAACATTTTTGCCAGGTGAATTTTTTATCACACCTAAACTGATGCAGTTGAATTGACTCATCATACATTTCAAACAAAGCCAGTAATAATTATTATCCTTTTACTAATACATGCTTTTCCTTTAATTATTCTTTTATTTTCAATCCTCAGGTCACACAAATTTCTTAAACTATTCTTTATCTATCTGCGTAAGGCATTTCCAGGTTAGCCGTTACCTGTGGAAGCACCAGGTCCTTCTATGATCTTATTCTGACAGTGAAATTAGCAGAATTTCATACATGTAGGTGAAGGGAAGTCTAGAGTGTAGACTTTATCCACACCTTACGGTACCAAGCAAATAACGAGTGGGAAGACTGCAGACAAAAAGCAAAACCTTGGAAAGAATAGCCTCAACAGCAAGTGGAAAGTTTTCAGTAAAAACAGTAAAAAGAAAAAAAAATAGCACCTGGACATTGCATATGCTAACCCAGTATGAACAAATGTTGAATGTAAAAGACAAAGTTATATCAATTTTAAGTTAAAGTGCCCCAATAAAACTGCACTGATTGATTTTAAAATCTCACTCTTT